TATGAACCTTAATTGCACTAGTGGATTGGACATAGTGGAGTCCTCAATTTTTTAACCCTCAGGTGGGTTTTTCCGAACAAAATCAACTTGTGTTTATAGCTACTTAATGCTTATCACATATCTCATTATTAGCACATGTTACTTGCATCTTTTGTCTTGCTGATTAATATATGCCTACAACCATGCTCACTCAATGTAATAATAAGTAATGAACAGGACAATTGTTAACTAGGATATCTCCTAGTAACCTAAGTTGATTTACCTGTAATATGCTTGGTTGTCTAACGGTCCAGTACTTAGCTGACTAGTGAGTTTGACTAGTTAGTTTAGCAAACTGTGTTTTTAATTAAGATATTCCACCTGGTACCAATTTCAAAGTTGCAGAAAGGAAGAATAGGACAAAAGCGAAAACGACAAAGTGTATGCTACATGAAAAAAAAAAACTTGCCATATTTCCTGCTGAGTGAAGGTGTTAACACTGCAATCTACATATTAAATAGATGTCCTACATGAGCGCTTGCTGAGAAAACTCTTTTTGAAGCATTCAGCGGAAGGAAGCCAAGAATTGGGCATTTGAAAGTGTTTGGATGTGTGTGCTACAACCATATTCCTAGTGAGTTGAGACATTAGTTACAATAATCGTTTGTGAAAGGAATATTTGTTGGATATGGAAAAGCTGAGAAAGGTTACATAATTTACAACCTAGAAACCAAGAAGATAATGTTGTCAATAAGTGTGATTTTTCATGAAAGTGAAATATGAGACTCGAAGAATGAAGAAATAGGTCCAAGTACTATTCTTGTGATAATGCAATGTGAAGAAAGACAAAAGTCCATTGCACTAATTGAGATTGTAGAAAACCAAGAGGTTACTCAGTTAGAATGAAGTACTGTCCATTTCATATATTTCAAGACTCACAAAGTGAATTGGGGGAATCTAGCATAAGTGATTAAACACTAGTGAAGCTAAGAAGCTTGAGTGAAGTCTATGCTAGATGCAACCTTTGTATTGTTGAACCATAAGGTTTTGAAGAAGCAAGTAGGGATGAAGCTTGGTCCCCTTTTTCAATTGATTTTATTAAAAAACAAAATTTGGATTTTTCAGTCACAAAAGCAATTCAGTATATTTTTTTGTTTTACACCCTGTAATTCTTCCTTAGCCAAGCTAGGGTAGAATAGTAAAGCAAGTACAAGTATTAGTAACATAGCAAAAATGCGTTCCTCATTATTAATATATTTGCTCTCAATAATTATGGCCTTTCGAACGAATTGATGACTGCATCTTTGATGCACTTGCTAGTACTTCTGAGAAATCTTAATATGATAGTTGTAAATAGCCCCAGATTGTGGAACAAAGGATTATCCTGAACCTACACCGAGGTATTGATGGTGATTCTCAAATATCGCATAATAGAATGTGATACAATGAGATAGAATCCAATAGAAACAAAGAAACAGAGAATGGGTTATCTACTCTTAAAGGTCAAAACGAACCCTTTCATTCCAAATTAAAGGATTCAGAATGAATCAAATCTCCCCAGGTAGGATTCGACCTTACGACTAGTCAATGGATTTAGAGATGATTGAGAAGAATCAAACATGGGAACTTATTGATAAACCTGCTGAGAAACATGTAGTGAGTGTCAAATGGGCGTTCAAGACCTAACTCAACATAGATGGAACTATCTAGAAGCACAAACCTAGACCGGTTGCCAAAGGTTATCCACAGAAGCCAGAAATTGACTTCAATGAAACATTTGCACCAGTTGCTAGATTGGACACAATCGGAACTCTAATTGCACTTGCTACTCAAAGAAATTGGAAATTCTATCAATTGGATGTAAAGTCTGCATTCTTAAATGGAATACTGCAAGAAGAGGTCTATATGGATCAACCTAAAGGTTATGTGAAATCAAGAGTTGAGAATAAGGTATACAAGCTCATAAAGGCTCTTTATGGATTGAATCAAGCTCTAAGAGCCTGGTATGATGAAATTAATTCTTACTTGCTGAGTTGTGCTTTTCACAAAAGTGCAAGTGAGGCTACACTACATGTCAAATTCAAAAATGATGAATTATTGATAATGTCAATATATGTTGATGATATTATATACACTGGTAATAGTGTTGAGTTGATAAAAGAGTTCAAGAATAAGATGATGACAAAGTATGAGATAACTGATATTGGTCCTCTATCATTTTTTTGGAATGGGAATCGTTCAAATTGAGCATAGCATCTTAACAAAATGAAGTATGCTACTGTACCCTTGGACAAGTTTGGTCTCAAGGATTGCAAACCTGTCAATATTCCCTTGCTAGTGAATGAGAAACTCAAGGAGGGAAGGTGGTAATGAAGCTGCAAATGAAGCATTATATAGACAAATGGTTGGGAGTTTGTTGTATTTGACTGCTACAAGACCAGATATTGTGTTTGCAGCTAGCTTACTCTGAAGATTTATGCATAGTTCTACAAAGACACTTTGGCACAACCAAGAGAGTGCTAAGGTACATGCAAGGAAGATTGGCTTATAGAATTAAGTATGAAAATGGCAATGAGGCAAAAATAACTGGCCAGTGTAACAATGACTGGAGTGGAGAATGACTTAAAAAGCATATCAGGCTATGCTTTCTCATTTGGCAGTGGCATTTTCTCATGGGCATTAGTGAAACAACACACTGTGGCACTCTCCATTGCAGAAGCTGAGTATGTGAGTGCATCAAAAGCTACAACTCAAGCAATTTGGCTTAGGATTGTCTTAGAAGATTTTGATGAGTTGCAAACTGAATTTACACGTTTGTATATGATGAAATTGAGGTTCCACCATAAAACCAATTGGCAATATGAGGAGTAGCCCAAGATCATATAAGCACATAGCAAACCTTGTCCCTCACCGATGTGGGACAACTCTCAACACGCCCCCGCACGTGTGGCGGATTTTCAAGCCTACACGTGGACAACAACTGGGTGACGTGGAGCGCGTGTGGCCGTTTGGCTTCACACGAGGACAACCCGCTCTGATACCATGATGAAATTGAGGTTCCACCATAAAACCAATTGGCAATATGAGGAGTAGCCCAAGATCATATAAGCACATAGCAAACCTTGTCCCTCACCGATGTGGGACAACTCTCAACAGTATATTGTGACAACACCTCTACCATAGCCATGACAAATCCAATATTTCATCAAAGGTCCAAGCATATCAACAAAAGATATTATTTCATTAGGGAAGCTCTATAGAACAATGTGATCAATTTAGTGTACTGCAAATCTGAGGAACAACTTGCAGACATATTCACTAAAGTTTTGCCTAAAGACAGGTTCAATTATCTCAAAGGAATGCTTGGAGTAAAGCCAGCAATAACCTTAGAAGGGAGTGTTCCAGAATAAGGATGTTGCTGATGATCAAGGGAGCTGGATTGCATCGTAGTGCGTTCGAAATCCATTTCAATGTTCTTAGTTTGAAATTTATAAATCAAGTGAAATAGACAGCTAGGATTAAAACATCTAAATGACGAAGAGTGCGCCATATGCCTTAGTTTTTTTATGTTTTTAATCCCTTCCCGAACCAAACGTGAACATTTTGATTCATTTGGCTCTCACGCTCAATTTGTTGAATACCTTTTGAGAATTCACATATTCTTTTTTAATGTAAAATGTTTGCACCGTGAGCTGCACGTGAGCTAGCTTACACCGCTCAAGCATGTGAGCTCGAATGGTTATTTTGTCCTTTGCATCCCTTCATAACAGGTGTGTGGGTTGTGATTCAATGCTTTTGTAATCGAATCCAAGGAAATAGAGAGAGCAACGTACTCTCCATTTTTTTTTCCTGAGCTCCATTGTTCTTCTTGCTGTTGTTCATATTTTTCCAGAAAACTCATGCACAAAACCATACAAAATACAGAAAACAACAAACGACAGGTTATTGGATTCGTCATGGGGCTAATCTTCTATCTTGGTGCTCGAAGAAATAGCCTACTGTCTCTAAATCCAGTGCGGAGTCAGAATATAGGGCCCTTTCCCATGCTTGTGCTTAGATGGCATGGCTCTCCTATTTATTCCATTAGTTGGTATTCCTACACCATTTCCCATTCACTAATACTGTGATAATTTTACTACATACATGACAGCAAATCCGATTTTTCATGCTCGCACTCGGCATGTCTAACTGGATTACCACTTCGTTCATGAGCGTGTGGCCTTAGGAAGCCATCATGTTCGTTTTCTGCCTTATGTTGATCAACCAATAGACTTGCTAAAGGTTTGCGCTTTGCGCAAGCACCGTCACGTCACGTCCACCAAGAGAACAAGTCAACGTGAAAGTTCTACTTCTTATCTTAGAACTCAAATTTAAATGTAAATGTTGATAAGTTAGTTTGAGTTGTATATCTCTTTGCACAGGACTCCTGTGCATTTGTAATATTTATATACGTACGTTGAAATCGATGAAGAAAAGCTAAGCTTTCCACAAATTATTTCTTCGCTGTTATCGCACCTTTCCTCTGCAGTTGCTACTCTACACGTAGCGACAAAAGTCAGATCAAATTAGTTGTTTGTGGCCCTATGACAATTTTGACCTCTCTATCCCTGGGTGAGATAATAATACAAGCAAGCAGGACAACTTCCTTGAAAACTTGTCAAACGTTGCTCATGTTGCCGCCGTAAGTATACTTAATTAATTCACTGGTCGTTGGAAATTTAGAACAGCCTAATCGAGCTGGAGCTGGCAACATAGTAATCTGTTGACCGGAAAATTAACCATCTAGCTAGCTTATTGGGTTTATATTATATATAAGAATCCTTTAACAAGAGGGATCCCCATTTTTCTAAAAAAATGGGGACACCCTTTTGTTAAAAATGTGTGCGTGTGTGTGTGTATATATACATATATATATGTATGTATGCATGCATAAAGAAAACAAGTCCATATCCAGTATATACTATATATAGACGACCAAGTCTATATGCAATATATATATATATATATGTATGTATGTATGTATGTATATACACGGCCAAAGCTGGCGTTTTAGAATATCTCCACTTTCTCATTCTATACATTGCATCTTCTGGGTAGAGAAGCCAGCTAATATTAGTGAAGAATTAAACGCATTTCCTAAATCACAGAACTCTTCGGAGAGTGATCTCCGAAGAAAGAGAGAATCGGGCAACCAATCTCCGAAGAGTGAAAACGCATCTCCTAAATCACAAAACTCTTTGGAGACCGATCTCCAAATAAAGTGAGTAAAGGGCGATCAATCTCCGAAGAGTGAAAAGGGAGATCAGGGACCTTTATTTTCTTGTATTCAAGGGAGATCGGGGACCCTTTTTTCCTTGTATTCCTTTTTTGTTGTTCTTATAATATTTGTTTGTATTCATATGACACATCATGAGATGATAGGTAAATAGAAGCAGCATGGCGAAGCCTTTTTCTCTACCTTCTCTGTGCAATCTTGTACAGCCATCTACAATCAAGAGCCGCTGCAGTACTCGTCTTCATATGACCATGCAAGTAAAAGCTCAGAGCTTAGATGAAGGTAAACTTTCAAATTCTCGATCCCCAGCTTTGTTAATGATTCGGGATACATACGTGCGCAGGACGAACTTTCATTGCCTTAATTCAGTTTCGTATTTTCCAGTTTCCTTCCGGAATATACTGTCAAGTAGTTTTAGCAATAGTCTACACAAGAACACGCAAATCAAAGTATTCCTTTATTGTTTATAATTTATTATTTAGTTTTTGACGGATGCACAGCGTATACATATAATTAGTTCCAACAAGACAACTTGGTTTGATACCATGAAGAAGTTGAAGCTCATAAATTCAATTGGCAACATAAGAAGTAGTCTATCTTACTTATAAACACATGTAAAGTCCTTCCCTTCCCCGATAGGATTTACTCTTAACAGAATACATAGTTTCCAATAATGCATATGAGCATATTATAGTGGTACACTTTTCCAATAATGCATATGAGCATATTATAGTGGTACACTTGTAACTAGCTTCCAATTATATATTCAAAAACGTGAGCTTGCACGTGTTATATGTTTGATTCTTGCTATTATCTGCAGGTAGATCAAGGAATATTGTGGATTCAAATTTGAGCGTTTTAAGAGAGAAGATGGCAGTCGTTAAGATGAGGGAGAGACTTGAGAAATATTGCTGCAAACACCAACAAAATGGTTGGAATTATTCACCGGGATATAATTACAAACTCAGAAGAGCAAGCGAGGTATCGACGTTCTTTGAGCTCATACGTTTGGTGGGAGTGACTCTTGGTTTTACCTGTTTTACTGCTACATTCTTCCTTGTCCTTGTATCAATCTTGGTTCGTTTGAATCAATGGTAATGCTATATGTATGGATGAACGTCTGTCTTTATAATAAAAAAAAAAGTGTACATCTCTTTCCCTCCCTTTAATGGGTAGACAACTTATTTATTTGTCATACAAAAATTATCGTTCATGAAAACTTAAACTTTTAAGAAAGCAGAGACTCAATGTTGCTAAACGAACTTAAACTTTTAAGAAAGCAAAGACTCAGTGTTGCTTAACTAAGTGACTATTGACTTGGGTAACCAGTTGAAATTTATTTAAAAAAAAAAAAAAAAAAAAAAGTAATACTAGGGAGACCCAAGGTTCTAAAAGGCGCTAGGCGGCTAGGCAAGGTCTAGGCGGCCGCCTAGGCAGACTAGTCGGATTTAAGTAAATCTATTATATTTCATCTAAGTAAGTGTCTATTTATACTTAAAATATATATAATTTCATCATAAACTACAGAATAGAATGACATACATATTATGAAATATTGGAACATAATGAAAACATGGGAAACAAGCATATAATGTGTGTTCATTTACGTATTCAACAAGTCTCTTACAATTTATTAAAAAAAATAAATGCAAAATGAAAGTTATCTATTTTTGCCTGAGTAAGTCGCAACCTAGGCAAGTCTGGGCGGGCTAGGTGGGTGTTTAGGCGGTCTAGGCACTGATGAGTCAATATTATATTATATATTTCACCCTATTCTTAGCATAATTTGGTAATTATTTTGGTAGAATTTTGATACTTTGCTTTATATTCTCAATATAGGATATTTGACTTCCTCTAGAGCAAAACATGATCAAACAGACGAATTTTAGAGTAATTCAAATTCGAGGACGTTCGTGTGTCTCTTAGCTTTTTCGTATCAAAATTTGGGATTTTTCTACCAAGTGGTTATTTTCTGGTGATTAAATAAAGAAGCAGTGTGCATTCTGGAAAGTGACGTTTCTGGGCTTAAAGTGCGTTTTTGGAGCCCAATATGATCTCAGATGGGTTCATGGCTTTTTGGAGAAGTGTTCAGAATAGTTCAAGCTTTAAATCCAGCTATTTTGGGCCAGTTTTGAAGCTGATTTGGGTTCAAAACGTGGCTATGCAAATTTTTAGGCGAATTTACCGAGTCAATTTAGGATTATGTTTCTTATTTTATTTCAAGTTTTTAGGTTTCCTAGTCTTATTCTAAGACCTTTTACTAGGAGGATTTTATTTAGAGTAGTATAAATAAGCCTTTTGGTAAGACCTAGGGTTTTCTCTTCTACATATGCAACTTTTGGGAGAAGATTTTGGTTAGAGCTTAGAGATTTCAAGACTTATACTTTCAGGTGTTTTCATTCTTTTTCTAGTTTAATACAATTATGTTGATTTTAATTATGAATATACGTAACTAATCCTTTTTGCTAGGGTGAGGCCATGATCCTTAGCAAGAATATGTAGTTTCTTTTTAATTTTCTTATGAATTTATGCATGCAAGGTTTGGATTGTTAATCATTGTGCTTTAAACTACTATTTGTCTTAGTGATTCGCGACCATTAGGATATTTAGATAAGTAATTTAATGCAATTTTGGCGGAGGGCTGTCCCTAAAATTGACTAAGGCTTCTTGTGGTTAATATGTGTAACCTCTTAGGATGGACGACACGTTTTAAGGGTTTTATGGTTTTTCAAAGGGTTTTCATAAAACTTAATGAGTCTTCCATGTTCACATTCGATCTGGATACCACAGACGGGTTGCATGTTAGATATACATTCTATGTTGGAGGTTCCAAATAAGATATACTCTAGGAAAACCTAACCTTCAAAATATGAATGTATGGTTCGTAAATAATTTAGAAAAGCTACATAGGATTGTTAGGGTGACGGCGGAACCCTAGTACTTTCTCACTTTGAATTCTAAAAATTGTTTCCTTTATCTTTCTTTAAAGTTATGGTTTTTAAGTAATCTTTTTAATTAAATTCGTTTTTCTTAATTTAGGTCATTAAATCACCTATTCCAAAAACTTTGTTTTAATTAATTAGTTGAGAATTAATTTCTCTTTGATCTTTTTAAATTAATCCTTGTGGAGAACGACCTTGCTTGAGCCAATTATACTACAATAACCTTGTTTCTCTTGCAATTTAGGTGTTTTTAACCCTTTTGCGCAAGTGGTAAAAATCTTATCAAGAAATTGGCGCCACCTAGCGCCTAGGCATTAATCGGAGCAGTGATCAGCTGCCTAATGCCTAGGCAAGGCATCGGCAGCGCTAGGCAGGGATTTTTAAAACTGTGGGATTTGTATCACATTTAGGGTACTACATCATGCGACAAGTGATGCACACAATGAACATCTAATGAGATAAATTCATTAATGGGCGTGTCATGTATACATCACTTGGCAAAGGTACACAAATAGTATATAATGTAGTCTCCCAAACAAAGAGCAATTAAATTAAAACTAATTTAATTTAATTAGTATAGCTTGCTTTTAGAAGAAAAACAAGCTAAAAATGTCTTTAGGAATACTAGATGATATTTTATTTAGAAATTTTATTCGAACCATGTTTTGTATTTTTGGGCTCAACTTACTTTCTACACCCTAATTCTATTTGATTTATCAATCTATCAATATCTCTTTATAACCAATAAAGTAGAACATTTTTATAGTAATACTCTATAAAGTAATAACTTACTCATAGTCATAAGAAATTATGGTCCCAACTTGGGTCAATTGTGTACGGGACTAGATATGTGGGACTACTTTTTTACTCAACTTTTGATCCACATTTTTATGGGGTCTACTCCCGGATTGTATTCAACAATCCGAACATCTTTCATTGATCATCCTTACAAAAAATTAGATAAATCCAAAACCATTAAGACATTCATTTGTAGTGGAAAGAAATTGACGAATACAGTTTTACAAAGAAACCCTAAACCATTAGTCCAACAGTAATATGGCTTTGTACTTTGAATTTAACAAAATCAAGACTTTATCTTCATCCTTGACATATTCATCTAAATTTAACAAATCAGCAGTTAATTTGTTAAATGAATCGAGATGTGCATTCATTTTCGTACCTTCTTTGTACTGGAATCGGTACAACTGCTTTTTCAAATGGAGGCGATTTTCAATGCTCTTTGTCATGTAGTTGTGCTCCAATTTCTGCCATAGTGACTTAGCTAACGTTTCTCACATGACAAAATACTTATGAGGTTTTGCAAGACATAAGCGAATCATAGAGCAAGCCATTTGATTTAACTTATTCCACTCAGCTTCTTCCATATCCTCCAGCTTATCTTCTAACGTTAGATCCAAATCTTGTTGAGCCAACACATCTTTAACCTCACATTGCCACATGCCAAAGTTATTTGTTCCATCGAACTTTTCAACTTCAAACTTTGCATTTTGAACTGTCGTCTTTGCCAAATGTGAAGCTTGTGATTCCAACAAAGGATGTGCACCTCCCGATTCCGATTGATCACCCATCTTCGTCAAGCAAGTTTCAAATACAAACTTTGACACAAATGAGCCTAGTGGCTCTGATACCAATCATTGTGCTAGAGCACCAAATGGAACAAATAAAATGAAAGAAATAACTCTCAATTTATTAACTGATTGAGACAACAAATATACAAAGAGAATTTTAGAAATTGGCTCACCCAAAGTTTTTCTACGTGAGCTCCTTTTATTACAAAACAAATCATTTCCCTTCTAATATGTAAAGCCATAAACAAGTTCATGATGGAGAGAAAAACAAGGATAACCAATACAAAGTAATTGATCAAGGTTTATATCGAGCCACATGTCAACATATTTCACAAGATCAATCAATTATACAAAGAGCTACGTATATTTATAATGATGTTGGAAATTATATATTATAATATGAAATGTTGTAATATATAATTTTAATAATTGAATGAAAAATAGTGTTAATCGAATTTCTTAGAAAGGCTATGTTATTTAGGTACATTCTCTTGCTAAATGATGTCTACTTAATGAAAAGTTACATCCCGTTAATAAGTAGTACTTGGGTTCTATATAAACCCATGAAACCATTGGCATTAAGGAGTAGGAAATTAGAGTTAATTCTTATCCTTGATAAATAGGATTTCCCCACTCTATTTCTCTTATTCTTGTTTGTCAAACTTCAAGTCGTGTTTTGAGCGTACGGAATATAAGTTTGATAGAGTCCGAAGATTGCGATGCTTAGACTTCAAATTATAGATTGTTGAATCTTGGGAGACGAATGTCTACCAAACTATAAGCACAAGGGTAAGGACGAAATTCTATCTTTAGGACATTGCATTTATGCAAGCCTCAATCTCCAAGTTTGTTAGTTTTTCTTTCTCCCTAGTTGTTTATATTAATCTCATACATAATTGATGTTATGATTTTTTTTTAATGATTATTATCTTTGGAATTCTTGTATTGTTTTCATATTTTCTAATATTGCTCTAATAATAAGTAAGTTGGACTTTGAATGAATTTGACCTACTCAACTAATAATATGTTCTTCTCGCTCACATACACACATTTCAGTTCCTTAAAACTAACCTTATCACAATACACAATTTTCATTTTCATTTTCATCCTGGTTATGGTTTTGCTCTTATACTAACTAATTGACTGTTTCTTACTGTAATATGTAATTTTGGTTACAAATTAGGTTTTAGTTATTGTAAAAGGAGTGGAGTTGGAAGGGTGCACTGACAAATTTTGATTTTAATTGCATATTGTCCTTTGCAGTAATTGTATCATATAGAGTAGAAAGACAACTTACATCCAAATTTCAAGTTGGGTATGGATTTGAATAAAATTTTCCTATTTCATTTTCTCCATAGCATTTATCTAGGCGTACATTAGGTCTTACATGTGTGTACTAGAAAAGACAAGCGTTAAGTTTACAAGAAATTCAACGGTACGAATCTCGAGTATCTACATTTAGAAGTTGTGCAATTACCCGCATTTCAACGTGAATTATGATGATCAGCATGACGATCATACATCTTTAATGTGCCTATCAATTATGAAGAAGAAACTGCTCAAGAAGAGTGTGAAGAGGAAGCTGCTCAAGAAGATGACATACCCTTGGTTCTCAAGATCCATCCAAATCTGCACAAA